AAGTTAACTTACGTACGTTCGTCGTACGTAGTACGTACAACACACACACACACACACACACACACACACACACACACACACACACACACACACACACACACACACACACACACACACACACACACACACACACACACACACACACACACACACACACACACAAACTTTGACGCGTACACATGGGCACACATCTGTCCCTTTCACTCTCTGTTTTTCTTCTCTTTAACGCTAAAGCCGCTTCTTTGTTGAAAGGGATTTTTGTTGTTGTTGTAATTTCTCCTGCTGTGATCCTGACTCTTTCTTTCGTGTCACTGAGTAAGGGTTTGTATTGCCTGAGACACACACAATACTCAGACCCATATCATTTATCTCCCTCTAGCAAAATGAAAGGCAGCTCTGTTTTCATTAGTTGTGCAGAATTATTATTTGATCTGCAGTATCAGACTAATATAAAGCTCAAAGTGTCTCGGTATGACTTTATCTCCACTGAGTGTTCATTTATGTTTCTATTGATCCTTATTATTCACATCCTGTCCTTCTCCATCACTCCTTGACTCTTCGTTTCTCTCTCTGCAGAGTATGTGGTTGAGTTTGAGGACCAAGGTTCGAAGGAGAGTGGTTGGGAAGAGCTGAAGAGAGTAATAGGAAAGAAGTCTCGTACTAACCTCCCTTTGTGGCCCTACATGTCATACCGTTTCCGCGTCATTGCCATAAATTATGTTGGAAAGAGCGGTCCCAGCGAGCCATCCGAAATCCACAACACACTTGCCGAAGGTTAGAGTCACTGTTTTGTAACCACAGTTTTTCATACTCGATGCAACCCCGACTGACACCACAATTAACTTTTCTCCAATCACAGCTCCAGACAATAACCCTGCAGATGTTAGGAGTGAGTCCATAGACCCAGACACTCTGGTCATCACCTGGGAGGTACTGTACATCTGATACGTGAACATACTAATTATCTAAAGCAACAGCATCACACACTCAAAGAAAGCATTGGTGAATAATTGGTTGCTTTTGCTCTCACTACAGGATATAGACCAACGTAACTTTAACGGACCTGACTTCAAGTATCGGGTGCTGTGGAGGCGAGTGGTGGGCAGCGGGCCCACCTGGCACACCAACTACACAACCACGCCAACGTTCACAGTCAGTGACCTCAAAGGCAGCTTCTCTGCCTTTGAGATCAAAGTTCAGGCTGTCAATGAGGAAGGGAAGGGACCTGAGCCAGACCCTGCCATTGGTTACTCAGGGGAAGATGGTAAGATAATATAAAAAAAAGTTTTCCAGCTAATTTTCTTTACTGAAAGAATCTCTCCTTCATTCTCACCCTCCTGTTTGTCTTTCAGTTCCATTGGAGGCTCCAATGAATGTGGGTATTGAACTGATAAACAGCACTACCCTCAGAGTGAACTGGGCAGTGATAGAGAAAGAGACAGTCAGAGGACACCTGTTGGGGTACAAGGTACTGATCCTGTTATCCTTTGTTGTTGGCCTAACTTATTCAGCCTGTCCTCATGAATAATGCATATGTTGCATTTTCAGCAGAGGCAGCCAGATCTTAGCCTGGCAAGGGCTTCAGAGTTCTCTTTGTTTCAAGGTTGTGACAAGAAGAGCCTTTTAATTTTTATTTGAGATGATATTACTTTCAGGATGTATCCCGCTCTGGTCCCACTTCCTCCCTTTATCTCTTTTGGGTTATTAATGCATGAGCCATTTAACACACGTTATCCTATTTAAATCCCTTTAGAAAACACAGTTGTATTGTCATAAGAAAATAACAACAATGAATTCCGGCATTTGTGGGATGAAAATATATTACGTTATATATATATATTAAGCTGTGGCCGGGGAAATTATAAAGAGAGTAACAAATCTGAATTTCAGTGATTACATTTACAACAAAATAACTTTGATATTTTCTGAGATAAGAAAATCATCTAGGCTAAATTCTTTCAACTACAATGGCCCTGACACAATTCATTTTCGGGATTTAAAAAAATTGTTGAAACGTTCAAATTCCCAAACCCATGACTTTCCTTTTTAACAATTTTATCATAACTGATTTTGTTGCGCCAGGTTTACGTGACTAGAACCGGCTCCAGGGGCCACCACCGAGGGCAGAGGTCCAGGGAGCCGGAGAGCCCCATGGTGGTGGAGACCACCGAGGAGAAGAAGCTGATCAGTGACCTCAGACCGTACTCCCACTACGACCTGGCTGTCACTGTGTTCAACAGCAAAGGAGAGGGACCCCCCTCTGAGACGCTGTCCTTCAACACTACCGAAGGAGGTGAGAATGATAAAGAGAGGAAGAACCGTATCGAAAGAGGGATGGGGCGATGTGGCTGAAATGGGGGGAGGTGATGGATGAAGCAGGTGAGGAGGGAAAGACAAAGGCAAAGGGAAGGATGGATAGTGGATTACAACAGAGGAAATTGCACTCCATTATTGGCTGAATGGAGGTCAGTCAAGAGGAGGAGGAGGGGGATTATTGAGCTTGCACTTGTTGGAGGAAATAGTTCACAGGGGATCAAAACAGTATCATAATTCCTTTTAAAGGTCCCATGTCATGGCCATTTCTACTGATCATAATTTCGTTGTTGAGGTCTACTAGAATAGATTTATATTGTGCAATTTTCCAAATCACATTGGTTTCTCATACAGCATCTCTGTATAGTATTTGTATTCACTCTCTATCCTAAACCAACGGCTTGTTGGAAATCCTTAAAGTTACATAACACACAAGGGGACGGGTAATAACCAGAAAAGCAACACATGGGACCTTTAAGCCATGTGCATTTTAATGAGGACTGTTTGTGTTCCTGCTAGTTCCCGGTCCTCCCATGTCCCTGATGCTGGACAGCCAATCAGAGACAGAAATGACCCTCCGCTGGACGCCACCTGACCATCCCAATGGAGTCCTCGTTAGATATGCCCTGCAGTACCAACAGAGTGAGCATTGTTACCCCTATTCTACAAATATCAGGCACATTAATTATCCTGTTTAATATGTGGTTTTATGATGCATCAAAGACACCAATAAGAACGTCAGCAGTGGACTGACACCAACCAATACTTTTCAAATCAATACTGCTAGAAACATGTCAAAGCATAGCCTCCTAATGATGCTCATCAGTCAGACAATGTGTTACCCATAACGAACCATGTTGAAGATCAAGTTGTGATTGAATGTTTTTTCTGCTGTCGGTGATCAGTTGTGGAGAGTGAGGACAGCCCCTTGCAGTTAGAGTCAATAGACGACCCCACAGCCACTCACTTCACCCTGAAGGGCCTGGACCGCCACAGCCACTACCGTTTCTTCCTGAAGGGGTGCACCGCTTTAGGGGAAGGAGAGGCCATCATGAGGGAGGGTGCAACCACGCTGGATGGAGGTACAAACCTGATTAACACAAGAGCAAATTAGAGTAAAAATTATATTGTTTTCCCATCTTCCAAACGTCAGAAAGTATAAAATGCCCTAGGATAGACCTTTTATATGAATTGTGTATAGTCTGAAATTATGTCAAATAGCCATATAATGGTATCTTGGCTCAATTGTTGAATGTCACATAATATAATCATGATCCAATATGCATCCAGAAATGTAGCAAAACTATTATATAACTAAGAGGTGATAAGAGAGCCTTTTCCAAAGTTTGACTTTGAAAAAAACCTGTACAAGATCCCAAATGTGATTCCTCTATCTGAATGTCTTGCAGCGCCTCCTACAAACATCCACTACTCTGCTGGGGAAAACTCTATAAACTTCACCTGGGTGGCCAAGAAGAGACACAGGAATGTTGACTTCCATATCCACTATCTCAACAAAAATGGTATAATATCTACACTTTAACTCCATAAAAAAAACCTTATTATGTTCAACTGTTAACAATTAGAAAAGAAAAAGGAAATCGATGCTCATGTCATGTCTCTGCAGATGGAACTAAATGGAAGAAAACGGAGAAGGTGGACTCTTCTCTGTCTTTCTTCCAGCTCCAGGGCCTGACTCCTGGCTCTCATTATCGTGTAAAGTCAACCTACAGCAACACCACCTTCTGGGAGACTGACATTGACACAGAGGGAACGGGTACTATGAGCGTTCTGGCTTCATTCATCCTCTTTCTCTTTCATGTTTCTCTGCTCTCTCCTTTGGGCTTCCCACATCTAAATATAAAGCCATACCCTGCAGAGAGTGTATTGCACTTCTTCCCACTGCCTGTGAAGAGCTTTCAAAGACTCTCGAACAGAGAGCTTGGTTAGCCATATGAAAAGATCCATTACTCGTGTTTGTTTGGGGTATTTTTCTGTTTTCTTTGTTTCCCCAGTGTACAGCCACCCTGTCAGATTGCATAACGCTCTGTCTCTTTCGCTCTAGATTTGTGTCCCTCTTTTATTTTATTTTTCCTACATTTTTTATCCTTTCCACTGCTCTGATATTTTCATCCTGTATCCCCAATATGAAAAAACAAGCTATTTTTTCTTTCCTTCTCCCGGTTCTTTTCCCTATGAAGAAGTGACGGAGGTGGAGCCCAGCTTTGCTCCACAAGGCTGGTTAATCGGCGTTGTGTGTGCCATCTTGCTGCTGCTGCTGATACTGCTCATCCTCTGCTTCATCAAGAGGAGTAAAGGGGGGAAATACTCAGGCAAGTGCCTATCATGATACGTGTTAAGCATTAATCAGGATAGATATTACATGATTACATTTAAAATGGTTTCACTGTGACAGAAAATGGTAAAATCCAACTTTTCTTTAGGAATGTATTGTTTTCTCTACTCTTTCTGTGTAAAAATAACAGTGTTCGAAAACTGCTGTGTCATACTCTACGAATATGCTGTTTGGGGACGGCCGACAGTCTGGAGCCATAAAGCTGTATAATAATACTGCGTTAGAAAAACAAGCCAAGCAGCTACAGAAATGCACCATAGTGAACAAGATTTTTCTTAAAGGGGACCTATCATGCAAAATGCACTTTGTGATGTCTTTTATACATAAATATGTGTCCCCGGTGCGTCGGGGAACTCATGCAGCGTCAGAAAATAAAACCCTCTCTCTTTTCCTCCGTACCCAAATCTTTTAAAAACAGGGGTACAACGAGCGGATACAGATTTGCTGCTGATCTGACGTCAAATCGGCAGCGGACCCACAGAAAATTGCTATCAGAAACAATGCCTGACTTTGTTTACATTAGCAAGCCTCGCTAACACTCAGAGCTAACCTGTACTGAAGAGCACGTGTTTAAAAAGCAGGAAATAAAAAAAAGAACTCACCTTGTGATAAACCTGCAATACAAAAAGCATTTGAGCTCCATACTGTTTCAGAAATAATCTTTGATGTGGTTTAAACAGGATGGCGTTTTATCACAGCAGAATTTAACTTTATCTCCGGTAGAATTCTGATCAGGCATTAGCTCCGCCTCCTCTTTTTTTTTTTTTCAAGCTAAGGACCCAACATCCGCGTTTCTCTAACAGGGCTGCAATAGAGGGATATGAGCAGTATGAGGCCTGGCTACAATGGGTGATCTGTTTGGTATTTTAAGCAAAAAACTTCACAGACATGTTTTGTACGGGTATGGCCCTACAATATATTTTTTAAATATAGCATGATAGGTCCACTTTAAGATAGGATCGTGTTTGAAATCTCTACCAACCTTCTCCCTTGGAGCCTTCACATGAAACATGTCGTGAAACAGACCTCGAAGCCTGCACTTCCTTACTGTGACAGTAAGAGGTTCTGCCCTAAAAAGGACTGTGAAATAATCATCTCAAAGCAGGAGAGTAACTGCAACCTGCAGGCTAACTGTCTGACTGGTCAGAGAAAAGAGGCCTTTGATCCGTTTCCACAGGAGGGAGAACACGTGTAGATTTCATTGACTGAGCTAGAAGCAAGGAGTAATTGAAAAATAAATCTGACCATACCCACCGGCATTATACTTCTAAGCGATTAATTATTTAAATTGTTTGGGATTAAAACAGAATATTCAGAGCTGTATTGATTATACTGAAAGTCAGATGATAAATTAAGTTAAACATCAAACTTTAAACCACATTTATAAAAAGATGATATCTCTAGATTCTCCACAGACACAAACTCCTTTTTTCAAACCTATCTTGTTGTGAGACAGAATGTCATTATCGATGTCTGAGACAGTAGCTTAGAGAGAAACATGGTTGAGATCTTACTGATAATAAAATCCAATAATCTCCTTTGCAGTGAAAGATAAGGAGGAGGGTCCGATGGACTCGGAAGCTCGGCCCATGAAGGATGAGACTTTTGGAGAGTACAGGTTTGTCATCTGAATGCAAATCGTCCTCTGGTGTTTGTTTTATACATCATTTAAATCCCAACTCCTAACAAAGGCCTGATTCCCCTGCAATGCTTTTCCTAACCCTCTGTGTCCCTCTCATTGTCCCTCCTCTCCCTGACGCCTGCTCCTGTTAAGCAGATCTCTAGAAAGGTATGCTGCGATGTTATTTGCTAACCCAAACTCACTTATTTAGTGTCCCCTGGCAATGCTTGACTTACCCATTGACTTTCCTATAACATTTTGTACAATCGTGTATTATGCTGTATTTGGGCTGCAACACAAGTATTTCCCCTATCATTTAATCTGATGTTATTTTTCCATCTTTTAGCCAAAGGTGTCCTTATCAAAGATCTTGTTTGGTCCGTCGAAAGCCCAAACATACACATTTGCTAGAATGTAAGACCAGTAGTGGAAGAGATACTGAGATATTTAACTTTAGTAAAAGTAGAAATATATCACTGTAGAAATACTCGTACTACATATACACATACAGGTAAAATCTCATACTACTACACATACAGTACAGGTGAAATCCCTGCATGCAAAACGGTACTTAAGTAAAAGTATTCAAAATGTAATTGTAAAAAAGTTTAATTTACCAAAATAAATAAAGACAACAATGAAAATGGCCAATTGAAATACAATATATGACATATTTTTTATATTATAATTATTGATTAAATAATGTTGCAGCCCATTTAATTACATTTTAATTTTAATTAAAGATTATATTGCATATATTTCTTAACAAACTGCCAAGTACCTTGTTAATTCCTTCTGATATAAATAATAAGATCATAGTTTTTGATTGACTATAGTTTGTATAATGTAAATACTTAAGTACATCACATGTATTCCTAAGAATTATATTAAGAATAATGTATTTAGTTACTTTCCATCTCTATGTAAGACCAAGAAAAGCAGGACATGAACTATCTCATTTTGGAATTACTTAAAAAAGTTAGTTGAATATCATAATATTTAATCTACTAATTCATTGTTTTGTTTGTTTTCGTTTGCACTTGTTGCCGCTCTTAGTATATTCAGCTTGCATGTAGGCATATAGCGGGATGTTTTCAGAGAGAAAGATTTCTGAATAATAATGTCACCCTTTTTTACATTCCAAATAATAATATGTCTTGCTTTTTGACCTCCTCTGTGCTATCACAACCTGTAGTGACCTTGAGGAGAAGCGCACTGCCAGCCTGCCGTCCCTGGGGGAGGAGAGCAAGCTGTGCAGCGAGGACAACCTGGACTTCAATGGCAGCAGCGCCATCACCACGGAGCTCAACATGGATGAGTCTCTGGTCAGTCAGTTCAGCCGGCCCAGCGAGGGTGGGGATGCCCTGCATGGCCTGCCAGACAACTCCCCGCTCAACCCCCCCGCTGTCTCCCCGGCTACCAACGGCATGCCCAACTCAGTCCCCATCCTTGATTAAGCCCCTTCGCATCCTTTGGGGGCCGCCAGACCTCAACATGTCAACACTAATGTGCCCATACGCTCCTGTTCCCTACCGACTTGCTGATCTGTAGTTTACCGACTTGATACACAATCAATATATTGACTATCCAGATGCCCCTGGCAGTCATCTGATCGACTGGACTGTTTTGACCAAAGGCGTGTCCAAAGTAGTGGACAATGTGATACAAAGTTTGACTGACCTGAAGATGTCCTTTGACCCCCCCCCCCCCACATCCCTCCTTTTATCTGTCTCGTTGACATCATGACTAACACTCATTTCTCTCCCTTTCTTTCTCTCTCTCTGCAGACAACTCTAAAGAAAGATAAAGACAGACTGTGCTACAGGTAGAAATATCAGAGGGGTTGTAGGGCCGATCCTATATATAGATGCAGAGTAGAGCATTGAAAGATGAGGCTGATGGTAGAGCCTTGTGCGGGGAAACAGACAGCACATCCTGCTGTCAAAAGTCTGATATTTATCAGGCCTTATATTAATTCTCACATTTGTATTTTTTTTTACCATTTGACGTCTCAGATTGTACCTCCAAGTGACATTGTTTTCTTTTTTCTTTTTTACTAATGAGTCATTTTTGTTATCTGCTATTTTTTATTTATATCATAATTGTTTCATATTGTTTTCTACACTATTTATATACAACTCATGACTTCTGTTTATTGACATATTACTGAAATCAAGATGTTTTCATTGAAACTAAGTTAAGCCAAGTTTCTTACTATAAATAGCATTGGATGCATTAAGGGGAACTTGCTGTGAACACGCTGAGTAGCATCTGGTGTATATAGCTGCATCTACATCTATCTATTTAGCCATAATACAGTATTATAGATATGTACATGCTCCTTATAAGTTCCTGTGCCTGCTGGGTCTGCATAGAGCACCAGATTGATGTCATTACTCTCTCGCCTTCCCACCAGAAGTGTAATGTCATTATTGGAAATGATATTGTAATTTTTTTGTGTCGAGACCTATGTGTAGCTTTCTGTATGTGTCTTTGTCTCTTTCTACACTGTATTAAAAACATTGTTGTCTCTAATTAACAATCTTTTCCTACCTGTTCATCTCATACTTCGCTAACTGTTTGAGGAGCAGTATTTATGTATATTTACAGATCAGAGAGTGGAGTCTTGTGGGCAGACACTCATGTTTTATTTTCAGACCCTTTTCATTGCAAGTTGATATTGCAGACAGGTGTAATTATTGCCAGTTGATGTATAATTAAGGCAAGCAGTTGGTATTTACATCAAACACAGAGAATGTATTCTTTTCAGAGCTGGGCAGACATTGTATTTACATGCTACTGATTAAAAGAAGATCTGAGCTACAAAATGCTGGAGTGGTTATGTGAAGAACCGTCTTTTTTTTCCTCCACAGAATGTAAATACAACCCTTAAAGATTGTTTTGATGAACCCAACCATGTTTGATATAAAAATGTGAAAATGTGCAGGTTTGAAACCACTTAACTTAGTTTAAAGTGTTGCAAGTTGTAATTTTTCTTCTTTGTACTATTGCTATAAATGCAAACTTTCCACTTTTGACAAATAATTGCAGTGAAATTTGGCTGTTTTAGCAAAAAAAATGTTCATGGTTGAGGTGGGGAAAAAAATAAAAAGGGGAAACATTCAAATTGTTCTGTAGATGTTTGCAAACATATTGAAAATCCAAAACAATGTACATTAGTGTCATTTAGTGATAGTAGTAGTTCCATTTCAATAAAAGCTAAGATTGCGTTTATGCCCATAATGCATTGCAGCGCAGTGAATATCTGTGGAGTTTCAGTGTGGTGCAGTTATGAGATGCAGTGAGCTGGTTTGTGCATACCACAGGGAGTACCTATATGCAACATCGCTGCCTCAGTTCTCCCTATCCAAATAAAAGCTTGACACTGGCCAAACACCACCTGACAGTCCCTGAGGTAAAGTATATGGGATGTCTAAACAGGCTAGTGGCACTGAAGGAGGTGTGTGTAAACTCCCTACTGTTGGTTACACAGACACACTCAGGACAAATAAAGCTTTTAAAAAAAAAAAAAATCTATTTTCATATAGGAGTGAAGAAGGCCACACAATATGCCAATATTCTAACTTGACTATCTGCTGCTAAACATCTGTGTTTGTCAGTGTTCAGGGCAAATGTTAGCTTTGAATGAGGAATGAGTGTACACACACAGATACTCACTCGACTGCCACTCTTTGCTTTTCATGTGTCAAGGGGAAAGCTGAGGACACAGGCCTTTGCTTTTCCGCTCTTGTTTTCCCCCTTTTTTAATATCTCAAACATCAAAACCTGTAAAAAAAAAAAAAGAAGTGAATTGGTTTGATAAGAGCTGCTTCTTCACAACTCAAAAAAGCGGACAGATTTTAAAACAACAATGCCTGAGTAGGAGGGGAGTGGTGAGAGAAATGTGGTGAGAGGAATAAGGGGAGGAAGGAGGAGAAGGGAGTGCAGCCGGGGTGTAGATGTGCCTCTTTGTGGAGAGTGGTGAGCACAATGGGACGGATGGTACCTTCGGGTATCATTGCTGAATGACAAGAGTTGGGTTGAGCCAATATAACTGTAACTGCATTATGAATCTACCACTGTAACTGCATTTATGAGTGAAAAATAAAACATGTCCACTACAATCTGTACCAATAAAAGGGTTCCTTCTTTGTCACAAGTATCTGGGAATAAAATCCATGCCATGTCACTTTGAATTCAGCAAGTATGACTTAATGAAGATTCAATTAACATTGAGTGTGAGCAATTAAGATATTTTATTATCACATTGTCAGGGGGGGCAGTGTGGGGGTCAGCGGGAGCTGGTGTTGAACTGATGAAAGTAGTCCTTGCTGGGTTTGTTGGTGTAGAGCTTCTTGTTCAGGAACTCCTGACTGGGGACACAGACACAAACACGCAGTGAGAAACTGTTTACAAAGACTGTAATCTTAATCTAAATTCCACTTCATCACCTACCAGAATACATTTGCTGACTAGTGACCGAATAGTTTTGTTTGTGCTTACTGTTCCTGCTGCTCTCTGGCCAGCTGCATGTTGTAATGATCCGTCTGAATCCTCCTCTCTCTCCTCAGCTCTTCTGCTCTTCTGTCCTCCTCCTCTGCTTTTCTGGACAGCTTCAGCAGCTGGAGTTCCCAAGCTGCATTCTGAATCTTTTCAGCATCACGTTGTCTCTAAAGATGGCAAGGAAACAAAGTTCTAAATGATCAACCTGAGTGGAAGTGTTAGGACATGACAAAAAGGCTCAGGCTCAATCTGAGGGGTTTTAGAAAATAATATTTCTGCTTCATATAATATGCTTATTTATAGAAAATTACTTTTTTCTCTATTCTTGGGTAAGAAGAACTGATTTTTATGTATTTATACTTTTAGTATGTCTTTGGTCTCATCCTGTCAAGATATGTTTAAATGTACTCAAAGGTTATACAGGCCACAAACGGTCAATACATTAGTTTGCTGGTTCTGGAACATTTTAGACGTCTAACACAGATAATTTGTGTTCCTCCCTTCGCTAATATGCTTTTACTTCAATTTGACACACATCTGTGGTTTTATTTTAAGGGGTCGCAAGTCAAAAAGTTGGGAACCACAGTTCCTTAAAGATAGAAACAAATACTTCAGAGGAGCTAGCAGTAAAGAAAGATGGGACTCGACGATGAATCGCTCATGGTGCCTCAGTACCTCTCTCTCTTGGCGCTGTTCTTCTCTCTCCCTGTGGATGGCGCTCAGCTGCTTGGGGCTCATCCCCTTCCACCTGTCCACCAGGACCCGGGCCGCCCTCCTTCCTCCCAACTCTCTCTCCGCTGCCTCTGCACACTCTGTCATCATGTCGGATGTCAGAGTGTGCTGCATCTCTGCACGTTTCTCCATTTCCTCTCTCCTGTGCTGCTCCTTCAGTCTCTCTGCCCTCTCTGCAGTCTTCAGGGAGCAGTACATGGTGAGCATTATTACCACTGACCCAGAAACAGCTGATTGATCATTCCCTCGATGGTTTAAAATAGCAAGAGCTTCACAAAACCCACACCACAACATCTAATACGTGGTTATAAAATAGAGGAGCCAGCCATTTGGTGAATGTTCTCCTGAGAGATCCACTCAGTTAGTTATATTTGCTTGTGCATTGTGCATGTGAGTGGTTATTAGAGAAACCACATCATTGTCATGAAAAATACCATTACCTGAAGGATTTATAATGAGACCTCCCAATGGAGGACTCAGCCGAGTGCGTTCAGGCAAATGAGGGGACAGCTAAATGGGGGCTTTTAGAATCAGACAAGGCCCACGCATACATCAAAGCAGTTAAACCATGCATGTTGCTTGGTATCAAATGATATGATGGCTGCCTGCCTGCAGCAAGTGTGTGTACGCATCACTTAATATTTTCAATTAGCAATTTTAATTCCAAAATCCCATGTGAGAACAGCATGTCAGGGCTCAAACCCCCAGTGGATTTTGCTTTGAGAATCCACATCAGCGGGTGGTGTGTGTGTCCATCTGTGTGTGCACATGCGTGTACTGTACCAGAGCATGATTGTAGTTGTCGAGTGCGATGCGGGTAGCTTTCTTACACTCCTCGTCTAATGCATGTAGCTGAACCCCCCTCAGGTCCTGAAGCACCAACTCTTTGTTCACGATCATCTCTGTGACACACACACAAGTTGCAAATCACCTACTGTGGGTTTTTGACACCTGCATTAGAGGGAAAACTATGTATTCATAGTACAGAGCTCTTCAATGACACACTCATACATACATTACAGCTTCCAGGGATGTGCATCCATCAATGCCACCTGGCAATAAGAGCTGTGCGTAGGAGTATGTGATTGTTTGTGCAGGAAAGCATGAAGCATGTGTGTAATTTACAGAAGCTATAGGGTACAGAATGATAGCTCATCAGTGTCTACAGTGTGTGTATGTGCTTGTGTCTGTCTTTTTCCACCTCTTTGCTTTTCTCCCACGTGCTTTCTCTCATTGTCTTCCTTCTGTGTTCGTAGATCTCTGTCTGTCTTTTTCATTTGTTCTCTCCTTCTTTGCTCCTCTCCAATATCCTCTCCCTGTACATGAGTAAACAGTGCTTAATGTGGGGGACGTGATTATTTTGATAACATTTCCCTGGATTTTGTTCCACTTGACTTTCATGCAGATTAAGCACATACCTGAAAGAGTGTCATACTGGCAGGCCCCAGTTTACCCTCTGGAGTGGTGCTACTGAACGCCCCCTTCAGGCCACACTTGAGATCAGCATCTCGTGAGTCCTCTACACACTGATGAGTGGCCCAATACTGGGTCAGCTCAGCTTGCAAAGTGTCTTGTTTCTCTTTTTCATCAATGTCTTGCTGCAGCAGAGCTTCATCGTGATACTCTCTCAGCGTATCTGCAATTCAACAAAGATAAAGACACCTGGGATGAAAACTCATTATTGGTAAATGGTCATTTCGTAAAAGGAGAAGGCCTATGACAGTACTATTACAGGGGGACTCTAAAAAAATATGATCAACTGATTTAAGTTCAACCGCTCCCTGTCTCTCATCATTCCCACAGTTTACCGAAAGCTTTGTCTCGTTGTATCTCCATGTTTTGCTGGTGTTTTTTCTTCTGAACCTGTTGGTCGAGAGCAGAAACATCGAGACCCATCACACGGAGCCGAGTGTTGAAGATCCGGGCCTTACGCTCTGTTTCTGCAGACCTTCGCCTCTCCACAGCATTTTCTATGGACTGGTCTAAAGGCAAATCCACTTTGTACATTTTTTCAGTTTCTATGAGCCTGGACGGGAAAAGAAACAGCCGTGATTATTAAGGATCTTTTCTCTTTTAAGGATCACTTTGGTGCAACTTACTTTCATCAATGAAATCAACATCTACAATATCATTGTAAAAAAAGCATCCAAAAATATATCATAATATTTAAATCACTTTTTGTTATGCAAGTCAATTGTACTTGTATTTCTAAAATAATTTCTACGTCAACTGGTAGGCCCTACTTTTAAATACTCCTTATATTATCATTGTTTTTAGCAGGCCCCATGTTTGTGATGTGAGTTTGCAAGTCAGTTGTATATTCATTAGGTAGGCTACTACAGTGATCTAAGATCTAAATTCACAGCACAGCACTTACCTCTCAAGTTACAGATGTGTCCAAATTATTTTTGTTAATTTTGGGACTTAAAGCCCATATGTAGCTCCTCAGCTGGTCGGGTCATGTTGTGTTTGGATCATGGTTTGGATGCATCCAGTAACCATGGTAACTCGTAGTCATTTGTTGCACGCTTTGTGTAATGTTTAACATAAATCACGGATGTAGGTGGATAACCTGCACAAGTTATTTACGCTCTCAAGAATTCACATAACTTTTGTATAAGCCATAATAATAATAATAATTTAACATGACTGGTCGATAACGGCTCAAAATCCTGAGGTCTCAGTGTGGTCTCGCGATAAACCGCGAGGTTTCATGTCTCGCGCGCTCCGGGGTCTTCCTGTTGGATTGTAAAATGGCGCATTGTTGTCACAACTGCAGCGCGTCTATTTTCTATGGATTAAGTAGCTATTTAGATTACTAAACTTAATATGTACTCCATAATGTGACATATGCTAAAGTCAGCAATAGACTGGACAGAGGGGTTCATTCATTTGCGTGCATACTTCGTCTTTGAGATTGCTTGCTTGGTAAACATTATTAGCATTAGCTAGCTAACATTTTGTGCAGTTTTTTCAAGACAGCGGCACAAATCCAAGGAAGATGGGTTATTTAAAACTGATCGAGATCGAGAACTTTAAGTCGTATAAAGGAAGACAGATCATTGGACCTTTTCATAAGTTCACGGCTATCATCGGACCCAATGGATCTGGTATGTTATGATTGCAAATATTAACCCGCGGCTAATGCTAATTGCTTGTTAGCATTGGCTAACGGTAAACACGTCTGTCTCTTTTAATATCACAACATGTACTTTATGCCCATAATGTATGTCTGACTTGCCAAACAGCTGTTGACTACGTGTTAGAATATCTATCCTGCCATCTAACGTTACCATGCTGCACAATGTTATTTATTTCAATGTTTTCTTTTATGATTTGTGATTACCTACTTCAACACTGTTCCATGTGTGCATATCAATTACTGCTGTACATGACACATCTTTTTTTTCTGTGTGAACGTTTAGTAATATCACATTTTCTCTTGCAAAGTTATAGTTTATAATCTTTGTGATCAAACATTATGCCCAGCGTAATTAAAATAGAAAATAAAGACCCCTCCTTTGCACACCATCCAATGGAGTGTCACAACTAAAATCTGTCTTCAAAATGACCAGGTTTTAATCGACCCCTGTTTAACAGGAAACAATGTAATTCATTTGAAAATAAACTGTGTTTCGATTTTTGGAAGTAACTTAAGATGTAAATATTGTTGTTGCAGGAAAGTCCAACCTTATGGATGCCATCAGCTTCGTGTTGGCAGAGAAGACCAGCAACCTGCGAGTGAAGACTCTGAAGGATCTGATCCATGGAGCACCTGTAGGGAAGCCTGCTGCGAACAGAGCCTATGTCAGTATGGTGTACCAGGAGGATAATGGAGAGGAGCGCAACTTCACAAGGGGAATCATTGGTAAGATTATTGAGGGCCATGTTATGCATGAAAAACATTAAAACCAGAAATTAGAAAGCATACACTTTACAGCATTTAAAACAAGTTTTACTTAGATCAATAGTTTGATTGTTCCATGTGTCAAAGAACAGATTCACAGTTGTTAAAGTGCTACTGCCAGCACTCTTCATAATTAAGGATCACATTTTCAAACCGTTCAGTCAGAAACATTACACGTTGCTTTATTTTTCTATTTACGTTATCAAAGCTAGTTATGCAACACATTAAAATATGCAAATATATGGTTAGTATTAGAAACTTAATTGGACAGGTTTTTTGAAAGACCCCAATGCCATCCTGTATTTGCTATTTATAAGCCAATGTTTGTGGTTTTTTATCTCCTAACGTGCATTTGGTATTTGCATCAGGTTCCTCCTCCGAGTACCGAATCAACAGCAAGGTGGTGGGCCTGCCTGAATACAGTGAAGAACTTGAGAAACTTGGCATTCTAATCAAGGCTAGGAACTTCCTCGTCTTCCAGGTGAGAATCAAATCTCTAAATCTGAAATGTTTTTATTTGTAAGACTTGTTGTGGCATTTTCACAACTCAAATTCCCAAATGTTCCTTCCAGGGAGCTGTGGAGTCTATTGCCATGAAGAACCCTAAGGAGCGAACAGCTCTGTTTGAGGAAATCTCTCGGTCTGGAGAGCTGGCCCAGGAGTACGACCGCAGGAAGAAGGAAATGGTGAAAGCAGAGGAGGACACGCAGTTTAATTATCATCGTAAGAAAAACATTGCTGCTGAGCGCAAAGAAGCCAAGCAAGAGAAAGAGGAGGTATGTACTGAAATAACATTGACTTCTAAGCATTTGTATCCTGCTTGAACCAGCAAATAAAATGCTTCTTGTCAGCAAAATTCACTTTAGAGTTTATTTACCAAGATATCCTTGTGATTAATGTTGCAGTTTGATTACCTAAGTTGCAGCAAACAATGTCTTGTCTGAAATGTTCTGTATCCCCAACTAACGGTCATTGCTGCCTGTTCTGACCATGATACTAATGAAAGGATGTTTTTCTTATCTCAATGTTCCTGATTAAATAAACAACATTTTGTAAAAGATGTATAATATAATAATAATAATTTTAATTTTTATAGCGCCTTTCAAGAGACCCAAGGACGCTTTACAATGGGAAACAAAACAACAAAAATAATAATAGTCACAAGGATACACAGGTTAGAAAAAAAAAAATATATATATATAATTGACCTTACCACATTCTGTCTGTCTCCCATCAATCCTCCAGGCTGAGCGTTACCAGCGTTTGAAAGACGAGGTGGCCAGGGCTAGTGTTCAGTTGCAGCTCTTTAAGCTGTACCACAATGAGACTGAGATTGAGAAGCTGAACAAAGAGCTGGCCCAGCGCAACAAGGAGATCGATAAGGACCGCAAAAAGATGGACAATGTGGAGGAGGAGCTGAAGGACAAGAAGAAGGAGCTGGGCCGACTGATGAGAGAGCAGCAGACCATTGAGAAAGAAATCAAGTAAGTGACATCAATATTCTTCGCTCACTTCTCAGGTGACTCGCTGTACTTTATTTAAAGGTTGGGCTTGTATTAATCACTTGACTCTGCCCACAGAGAAAAAGACTCTGAGTTGAACCAAAAGAGGCCGCAGTACATCAAGGCAAAAGAAAACACCTCACACAAGATCAAGAAGCTCGAGGCAGCACGCAAGTCTTTGCAAAATGCCCAGAAGATGTACAAGAAACGCAAGGGGGACATGGACGAGCTGGACAAAGAGATGCAGGCGGTGGACTCGACCAAGCAAGAGTTTGAGGAGCGGATGGAGGAGGAGGCGCAGAGCCAGGGCCAGGATCTCACCCTGGAGGAGAACCAGGTCTGGTTTATTTATACTTTATTGGTTTTTAATACATGTAGATTTTATTTAGTTGAAAATGAAACACTACACTTACAGTTTCGTGCCATCCGCCGTCAGTTGCCTCAACAAACTGTAGGGATAGCACTCAATGGATTCATATGTTTGTGACTGTGTGTGTGTTCCTTGTGGCTTTGTTTTGATATTGATGTTCCATAAGTGGAAGCATACTGTGAAAATCACATTCCTTCCAACAGATAAGAATAATATAATCTTTCTGGACTGGTTCTAATTATTAAGTTAGTTATTCATGATTTTTTTAAGATGCATTAAAACTCTCTAAGATCCTAACTGACTGCATAGTGTTCGATATGGCTATCTTTTTTGGAATAGGCAGTCTTGGCTTCTCAAAATGAATTCTGTAGCTCAACATTAAAATGGTGGTGTATATATAGAAAGCTAGCACATGCAAATCCCAGGGTTAGTTATGCGAGTTGTATCTCCAAATATTTTTTAAATGTCACTAAATCACATTAGTTTTAAAATGTAGATGGCTTCGTATGACCCATTGCTCCTCTCTCCCCCCCCCCCCCCCCCATCCCCCAGGTCAAGCAATACCATCGTCTGAAGGAGGAGGCCAGTAAGCGAGCTGCCACCCTGGCTCAGGAGCTGGAGAAGTTCAACCGCGACCAGAAGGCCGACCAGGACCGCCTGGACTTGGAGGAGAGGAAGAAAGTAGAGACGGAGGTAAATAAGATAACGATGGCATGTTAGACCCTCCTCCGGCTGAATACATTTGATCTGAGTTACAACTTACTTTGTGTTGTTTCCCTTCAGGCTAAAATCAAACAAAAGATTCGTGAAATTGAGGAAAACCAGAAACGTATTGAGAAATTAGAGGATTATATCACCACCAGCAGGTATGCTGCTATCATTTGTTTTGTGTTTGAACAGTGTTCAGTTTATTGATCTCACAGGTTTCTCAATTGTTATTTTGAATTCACTCTTTTTTTTCCTGTTACTCTTCAGGCAGTCACTGGATGAGCAGAAGCGCATGGAGGAGGAGCTGACGGAGGAGGTGGAGGGTGCCAAAAGGAGAATTGATGAGATCAACACAGAGCTTAACCAGGTGGCCTAACACACACACACACACACACACACACACACACACACACACACAGCAAAATATCATGAAATGAGTTCAAATGGTGGCAACTTAGCTGAATGTCAATGATTTCAGAGTAAGAGACCATTCAGTACCTTATAAAAACAACAACAACAACAACAACAACAGTGTCATAAAGCAAGACTTAAACCGGCACCTCTAGCTTACCTGAACTATACTGAGCCGAAGAAAACTAAAGGACTCCAAGTGATGTTTCTCACAGCAGACATTTCCACATACCAGGAAAAACTAAAGTGTGACGAATGAAATAAATGATTGCTATGTTTGCCAGTAAACCAAGCATGCACTGACACTAACACCTGTGTTTGACCGGTGTGAAAATGTCACCTGGGAAAAGTCCATATCTAATCCCATTATTATTGGCTTTTGTTGTAGGTGATGGAGCAGCTGGGAGACGCCAGAATCGACAGACAGGAGAACAGTCGCCAGCAGCGCAAGGCGGAGATCATGGAGAGCATCAAAAGACTCTACCCTGGCTCTGTGGTGAGGCAACTGTCATAGTATCCAGCACAATCATATCATTCTTATGCTTGGAACACTTCCGTTTCCCTACTTCTAATAATTCAAGGGTTGAATAAACAGGTTGTTAAAAAAAGATGCCACTCTGTCTCTCTTTCTGCAGTATGGTCGTCTTATTGACCTGTGCCAGCCCACCCAGAAGAAGTATCAGATTGCTGTGACCAAAGTGTTGGGCAAGAACATGGACGCCATCATCGTTGACTCAGAGAAGACGGGCAGAGATTGTATTCAATACATCAAGGAGCAGAGAGGAGAGCCCGAGACCTTCCTTCCTCTCGACTACCTGGAGGTGAATACTAGACCTCTGCAGAAAGCCTGTGCTTTCTGTTTCCTTGCCAATTTAATGCACTTTTACAGCCAGCTATCTGAAAACGTCTCAATGACAATTTTAATTGAAAACCTGTCCCAATGTTCTTTTCCCGTCTTATCAAAGGTGAAACCAACAGATGAGAAGCTGAGAGAGCTTCGAGGAGCCAAACTGGTGATTGATGTGATCCGCTATGAGCCTCCACACATCAAGAAAGCCCTGCAGTATGCCTGTGGCAACGCCCTGGTCTGTGACAACGTAGAGGATGCACGGAGGATCGCTTTCGGAGGGCCATACAGACACAAGGTATTTGACTTGATTTAGGTGAAGAAGGGTTTGAAAGCTAACATGGAGATTTATTTGTTGCGGTTTTTCCGTCTGACCTCTCCTCTCTCTCTGTGTCCAGACGGTAGCCCTCGATGGAACTCTGTTCCAGAAGTCTGGAGTCATCTCTGGAGGAGCCAGCGACCTGAAGGCCAAGGCCAGGCGCTGGGATGAGAAGGCAGTCGACAAGCTCAAGGAGAAGAAAGAAAAACTCACTGAAGAGCTCAAGGTAACTTTGATTACAAGTCAGGGTGTCCGCGGGGTCTTAAAAAGTATTAAAAGTTGACATGACATGAAAAATGTGTGAGGGTGATGACGTCAGAGCATCGTCCTATGTGCCGGCGCTTAGCCCCGGACAGCCCGGCCCAATTTAACCCCTGGGTATTTGTGAGGGAGCTCCTATAGCATTACCCCGCTGAAGCTCACCAAAGTTTAATATATTTCATAGTTCAAAGTTTTGTTAATTGTTTTGTTTATTGGTCAAATACTGGTTTCTAATGGTTTCTGAGGAGTTTTACTGGAATGAAAGAGCACAGAGTCTACAGAAGCAACAAAGCAGCATACTGCATTAAACCTGACCTTCACAGAGAGGTTGAAGTTCATGTGGAGAGGAGGCTTCAGTAGTCTGTCTGCACTCTGTTTAGTTGTGCTATCTTACAATCAATATAGTAAATGTGAGGTAAAGTGTGTCGCCAATGTAACCAGTTAGAACTCAAAGTTGCGATGAGGTCTTAAAATGTATGGAAAGGGTCTTAAAAAAGGTCTTAAAAAGGTATTAAATTTGACTTCAGGATTCCTGCATATACCCTGCAAGTGATCATCTCTGTCTGCTGATCGTCAGGATTTTTAGAAAGTTTTTACATTCAAAAATCCCATCCCAGAAAGCCCTCCAAATGTCAATAGTTTTTGAGCTTTAGTCCCTGACTGCAATGTACATTCACATCAATGTTGTTTTTCTCTGTAGGACCAAATGAAGGCCAAGAGGAAGGAGGCGGAGCTGCGTCAGGTGCAGTCTCAGGCCCACGGTTTGCAGATGAGACTCAAGTACTCCCAGAGTGATCTGGAACAGACCAAAACCCGCCACCTCTCCCTCAACATGCAGGTACAGCCTGGCTAACCTCAGTATCTGCCTGACTGGTAATGCTGTAGTGACTGTTGCATGTAAACATGTCCTATTTGTGTCATGCAGGAGAAATCTAAGCTAGAGAGTGAGTTGGCAAACTTTGGCCCTCGCATCAACGACATCAAAAGGATCATCCATTCCCGGGAGAAGGAGATCACGGACCTGCAAGACCGCATGAACCTGGTAAGAATAACAAAGTGAGGTCTACTCAGATCCCTGTCTACGTCTATGTGGCCTTTCATTAAAGTCAATATAAATATGTGTGTGTTCTAGGTGGAGGATGAGGTGTTTATTGAATTCTGTAAGGAGATTGGAGTGAGGAACATCAGAGAGTTTGAGGAGGAGAAGGTGAAGAGGCAGAATGAGATTGCAAAGAAGCGGTGAGTTTGGTAATGAGGCCGTTTAAGTGAACCTGTTTCTCCCATGTGTTCAAACCGGACACTGACACAGCACCATTTTGCTTTAGTCTTGAGTTTGAGACCCAGAAGACCCGTCTGGGTATCCAGGTAGACTACGAAAAGAACCAGCTGAAGGAGGACCAGGAGAAAGTCATGATGTGGGAGCAGACTGTCAAGAAAGACGACGCTGAAATAGAACGACTAAAGAAGGTAAGAACATGAAGTGAAGGATAAAAGCTTAATCTCTTCATTTTGAAATCAGGTTGAATTTCATTTGTGTGTATTTTTGTCAAATTCCTCATCTATCTGCAGGAGGAGCACAGACACATGAAGATCATTGATGAGACAATGGCCCAACTCCAGGACCTGAAGAACCAGCACCTCACCAAGAAGTCTGAAGTCAACGATAAGAACCATGACATGGAGGAGATCCGCAAAAAACTGGGTGGCGCCAACAAGTAAGTGTCTGCAAACACTCAAAATCCCTAACGCCATATTATATAAACATTACATTTGAGTTGTGCTGCAACATAGTGTTTGTATCTTCCAGGGAGTTGACTCAGCTCCAGAAAGAGGTCACAGCCATTGAGACCAAACAAGAGCAGAAGCGCAGCGATCGTCACAACTTACTGCAAGCCTGCAAAATGCAGGACATCAGGTTGCCTCTGCGATCAGGAACAATGGATTATATGAGCCAGGGAGAGGTATACAACATCACACTATTAAAACTAGGGATGCACCATATTGGTTTTTTGAAACCGATACCGATAACTTCCTGCTTCTCAAGACCGATACCGATAACCGAAATAATATAATATATATATATATATATATATATTAAATGTACCTGTAGTTTTTGCACACCTGGTGGTAAAAAAGAAGACTACCATCATTTTCGGACTATAAGCCGCGCCTTTTTCCCATTTTTCGACGCTGCGGCTTATATAACGGTGCGGCTAATCTATGGATTTTTACAGCTAACGGCCACTAGGGGACCTCCTAAATCTATGGATTTTACAGGTTACAGTCCACCACCTTTAACTCTATGGGCTCTATGGCCGGCCCGCGCCCCCCACCTTTAAGCGGCGGGCTCCAGCAGGAAAAGCTGGAGGCCGGAAAAGAGTGAGACAGGTAGCGCGCAAAAGTAAAAGTGGAACCGAGAGTGGTACGAGAGACAGAACGAGAGCAAGACAGACAGACATTACGAGAGCGAGACAGTTTGTCCCCGTACCACTGGTTGAAAACCACTGCTGTAGATCACTGCCGGTACGTGCGCTGGGAGCGCACCGTTTAAGTTTGAAAGTTGAAAAGTTTGTGTGTCTGAAACGCTATGTGATACAGTACAGTTTACACAGCACATGTTCTGTAGCTACTATTGCACTAAATGGTAACACTTGAATACGTTATGCAAATATGCAACTTGTTTGTTGAAATGTTAATAAATGGGAGCTTCCTCAAACAGCCATCTCTTTCCCGACAATTCCCCTCTGTGCACGAACCCTTACATATGGTAATTAAACATTAAAACACCTGCGGCTTATAGTCCAGTGCGGCTTATATATGTACACATCATTCAATTGAGCTGCTGCGGCTTATATTCAGGTGCGCCTTATAGTCCGAAAATTACGGTAGTAGTGAGCAAATGACATGAGCATCACTACTATGAACAAAACAAAGCCAAGAACAGTTTTGACTCTTCAAAGTGACCATATTTATTTTTTTATTTTTAGTTTAGCAGCGCAGGCTTCTTCGTACACTTTTAACACACCATCGTAGCGATGGTGATGTTTCAGGTGACTAATCAGGTTGGAAGTATTATAGCTCGTTGCCTTTTTCCCTCCTCGTGGAACTTCTGCATTGCATTTGTTAATACNTTTGTGAAAAACTCCCCTCTTCCTAAACCACTAATACCACAGTACTGGTAAAACGGGAGGAGCCGAGTGAAAAACAAGCGCCCCTCATCCCAATCCACCCACACCGCAGTATTTTTTTCTTTTTTTTTACCCAAAAATATATTATATATTATATATTATCGGGGCTATTAATACTTTTATCGGGTTTATCGGGATGACGTCATAATTCCTAATATCGGACTGATAATTATCGGGCCGATAATTATCGTGCACCACTAATATATACACACAGAATATATATTTTGAGATAGATATACACTAGTATTAGACGCAGTCAAAC